CGAATTTATATATATTCGTTCGTCTTCACCTTTTCTTTTTATGGAAATTCAAATTTCGCCGGGGTTGATGAAAAAAAGGTTCGACATTTTGGAAAATTGCTGCGATGAGGTTTTCGTTCATTCGTACGTTCGTTTTTCACCTCCCCTTCTTCCCTTATTTTTTTCTCTTCCAAATTTCACACCAGAAAAAGGGGAGAGCATCAAAGCTTTCGTGATATTTCTTATGAAAATTAGGAATCGAATCGTAAGGGTGTTTCGAAGCTTTCGTTTCATTCTTCTCGTTTCATCGAGAAAGTTTGAAAATTTTGGAAAATTTCGAACGAGATTTCATATAAATTCGTTTCGACCGAGGAAGAAGAAGAAGAAAACGTCTCGAAAAGTTTTCGCATAGCGCGAAAATCCTCGGCACTTTACATGTTGACTGGAGGAATCTTGATTCCCGGTACAATTCATCGGTTGTAGAACTTACCGCTTAAATATCAATTTGTAAGAGGCGGTTGCCTGATTAGCATTAGCTAGAGGAGAGCAAAGAAGTTTCGACATCAGGAAAGTTCAAGGATGCAAATCGGGGTAATATCGCGGGGTGCCGGCAAATGTAGGGAATTCGTAGTTTCCCGTCTCGTTGACACCCATCCCCTCCCCCTCCCCCTTCCCCTTTCTCCTCGCTCGATACAATTTATCGCAAAACTCATTAAATCATTAACTATATAATTACAATAAATAATCAACCATCTTTTTATCGTTCCTCGATAAATTTCATCAAATTAATTAACGAAAGAAACCGATTAAGAAATCTATTATTAGAATTCGTTATAAACCTAAGAGTTGAACGATCAAAATGTAAAAGGAGGGGAGAAGGAGAGGGAAGGAAATTATTATCTCTTAGGATCCTAGAAAGAAAGAAAGAAAAAAAGAAGAAGAAGAAAAAGGAGGAAGAGAGGGAAAGAGAGAGAGAGAGAGAGAGAGAGAGAGAAGGAGAGCACTTCGCACCCAAAAACCGTATTATTCGCCCATTTTGAAACTTTGATATCCCATTCCGAGGTGGTTGGATGAATGAATAATTATCTGCCGCTGCTGGTACAAAACGAATCTTTTTCCCAGCCTCTCTCTTGCTGCAACCCCTTACCCCGGGAGACACTTTGCGGGGGGAGGAAGGGAGGGGAGGGAGAGGGCGAACCATTTCCACGGAATCCACCTCCAATTTATATAAGCCGTGGCAACCTCAACCCCCCTTCCGGAACTCTTATAATAATTCCACGATTCCTCCCCCCTCCCCCTCCTCTCCCTTTCCATGCTTGGAAATCCGGGCGCGCGATGTTCATTTCATTATTTTTTTTTCCTTTCTCTCTCTCTCTCTCTCTCTCTCTCTCTCTCGCTCTCTCTCTCTCCTCCCTCCTTCTCCATCCCTCTCGGTTCCTCTTCCTTCGCGAGCATCGCGAACCCGTCGTATACCCGACGTCGGTATACCTCTCGTCACTACCAAACCACCACCCTGTCCACCACCACCCTCCCGCCACCCCCGGTGAGCCCGTTTCGCACACGAGGGAAGCCACCACCATCGAACGAGCTGAGAGGGTGATAAGTCGTGACGTCGACGAGGTAGAGGTGATTCCGAAGGGTAGGCGTGGCCGTGGCATCCCACCCTCTGCAAGGGGGTGCGAGGGGTCGAATGGAGAGGAAAGGGTGGCTCGCGGTACGCTCCCGTTGGCTGCACCACCCTCCACCACCACGTGGCGCGAGCAACGTCGCTGGTGGACGCCGGTATAGAGGTTGGAAAATCGGTGTAAGAAAAACGGCGGAGAGAACCATCGTCGATGGAACCACCCCTCCTGTTTTCAGGCCTCTTCTCCGCTAGACTATTCTACTTAAACCTCCACCTCTCCCCCCTCCTCCCTTCCATTTCTCCTCGACGTGTTCACGACCACCCCACGCATATTCCAAATCACGCTCACCCTCCGCTCTTTCTCCGCTCTTCCTCGTCCGTTTCTTTTCCATCCCCATTATTGTTATTTTCGGGTGTTTCGATGACCCGTTAAGGAAAGGAGATCGGTGCAAGGTGATGTTCTTCGACGCGATCGTTCAAGATTTAGATCTTTTCTCCCCCCTCTCTCTCTCTCTTTCTCTCTTCGTTCGGACGAACAATCGGACAACGAACACACGGACAATGTCGGTTATGCTCGTTAATTTGATTAACCACGCCGACATATCCGCCNACGAAGGCGAGGATGGTTTCTACGCGTGTCGCGCGACAATTGAATCGACACGTTTGATTCGAGATCAGGGGGAAAGAATAAAGAATTTCGACGTTATATATTTTCGTCCGTTTTGCCGCGATCCGTTTAATTACGATTCGCGTAAGGAACCTGTGTTAACGGGGTAAGGATAGGTCAGATCGATCGTGGACGATTGCCAACTCGGAACTCTGATTATTATTAATACCATTATTGTTATTATTATTGTTATTATTATCGCGATTACTATAATCGTTATTATCACACGGCCGATGATAATCGTTAACGATAACGGTTTAAAGCTCGGGGAGGGGGAGGGAATGGTGGCCGATACGAACGGGTCGCCGCTATATAATTATATACTTACAAGAAAATCACATTGCGCGAAACGATCTCGTCCGACACGTACGAGAATACGGGCGCACACGTGTGCGGCGGCAGTGTGTTACCCGGCAATAGACGGGCGGCAAGGTACCTAACCACACCGATGAAACGACACACACACACACACACACATATATACACACGCGTACACCCGAGAGCGTTGATAGTGGTGAGAGATAATAATGTTGATAAGGGTGTAGAGAGAACCGCTCTGCAACCCCTACCGGCTAAACCGAACGAATATATAAGAGCGAAAAGGACGTAACAAAAGTATGCGTGTATGTGTGTGTTTGTATCGCGGTGGGGGAGAGGGGGAGAGGCGAGAAGAAGAAGGACGGGCAGAGAGGGCGAGAGCGAGCAAGAGGGAGTAAGAACAGAGGGCGAAAGAAAGAGGGAGGGAGAAAGGCAGGCAGAGGGAGAGGGAGAGATGGAAAGAGAGAGAGAGAGAAATAGAAGACGCGTAGTCAGAGGGGTGAATAGGCGTGGCTACGGACTACCCTCGAAGCACCCGATTGGACGGACCGTTGGTCTGCTTCGTCAAATAAAATCCAATCGTTAGGACCAAAGGAATGCGAGTCTCCCTTGCTTTTTTCCACCCTTGCCACTTGGCGAGCCACCCCCTTGCTCCTACCCACTACGTGCCTCGGCTACGTGCGCCCTTCCTTCCTTCCTTGCGCTCCATTCCTTCGTCTCGGCCTCCGTCCTTTCCCTCCCGC